AACTCACTCCTCCTCTGAGAAGCAGTTAGATGCCAGGAGTGCTATTGTAGGGAAAGTCTTTCATGTACCAGTGGATGGAGGATATTTTCTCTTTCCCTCTCTCCCTCTCTCCCTCTCCCTCTCCCTCTCCCTCTCCCTCTCCCTCCCTCATCCTCCTTCCCTCCCTCTATAGCTTTGCCTTTCAAATAAGTAAAATAAATCTTTAAAAAATAATTATTATACACTTAAGAGTATCTGGCATATAGTAAGGGCTCAGTGTACATGAACTGCTGTTAAGTGATAGGCACTTGTTAATTACTTTACCAAGATGTATTTTTAAAATAAAGATTTTATTTATTTGAAAGGCAGAGTGACAGAGAGAGGGAGAGACAGAAAAATCTTCCATTTGCTGGTTCACTCCCCAAATGGCCACAATGGTCAAGGCTAGACCAGGCTGAAGCCAGGAACCTGCAACTCCATCTGGGTCTCCTACGTGGATGCAGGGGCCCCAGCATGGGGCTTTTGCCAAAGCATCTGCTGCTGCTTTCCCAGACAAATAATAGGGAACTGGATTGGAAGTGGAGCAGCCAGGACTCAAACAGGTACCCATATGGGATGGCAGTATTGCAGGCAGCAGCTTAACTGCCAGCGCAAGATGTTTGCGTTAGGTGCTGTCTTTAAGAACTAACATACTGGCCGGCACCGCGGCTCACTTGGCTAATCCTCCGCCTGCGGCACCGGCCCCCCCGGTTCTAGTCCTGGTTGGGGCGCTGGATTCTGTCCCGGTTGCTCCTCTTCCAGTCCAGCTCTCTGCTGTGGCCCAGGAAGGCAGTGGAAGATGGCCCAAGCACTGCACCCGCATGGGAGACCAGGAAGAAGCACCTGGCTCCTGGCTTCGGATAGTGGCCATTTGGGGGGGTGAACCAACGGAAGGAAGACCTTTCTCCTCTCTGTCAGGAGACAGTGCAATACAGATCTCTCACATGGCTAGCAAGAAACCCAATTACTTCATCACTACTGCCTCCCAAGGTCTGCATTAGCAGAAAGCTCGAGTCAGGTTCCAGAGCCAGGAATCGAACCCAGGTACTCCAATATTGGATAGCACATGACTGTCGACCTCTCGGCCAAATACCCACCCTAGAATTTCTTTTTAGTGTTTACATTAGTAAATTAGTTGAAAATGTTTTACATATATTTTATTCTAATGACGTCAGTGGAGGTATAGTGATCCTTCAATTAAACTTTTGATTGACCACAAATATTCTCTTCTGTAATTTGAAAGTGGAATGCCCACATTTTAGTTACCTACACAACTGCTCAGAGCCCACATTTTCTAGCTGCCTGTTTCATAACTAAATTCTAGCCAACAGAATTAAGTGGAAGTGATGCATGTGACTTCTGGATGATGCCCTTAAAAGTACTAGGTCGTACCACAGGAATATAAAAAAATGTTCAACATCCGGGAAATGCACATTAACACCACAATCAGAGGCAAGTGTGTGGTGCAATGAATTAAGCAGCTGTCTGGGACCACTGTGTTCCATATCAGAGTGCCAATTCAAGTCCAACTTACTCCACTTTGATTCAGCTTCCTTCTAAATGCACCTGGATAGCAGATGTTAGCTCAAGGACCTGAGTCTGCCACCCATTTGGAAGACCCTGTTTTCTGGCTTTAGCCTGGCCCAGCCACAGCTATTGCAGGCATTTGGGGAGTGAACCAGAGCATAGAGAATCTGTCTCTATTACTCTGCCTTTCAAATCCTTTTTTTTTTTTTTAAGCCACAATGAGTTGTCGCCTCCACCTATCAAAAAGACAAAAGATAGGGGCAGGTATTTGGTGCAGCAGCTGTGACCTGCTTTGGATGTCTGCTTCCCATATCAGAGTGCCTGGTTTGAATCTTGGCTCTTCTGCTTCCAATCCAGCTTCCTGCTCATGTGCACCCCAGGAGGCAGCAAGATGTTGGTTCAAGTAGTTGGATCCCTGCCACAGACATGGGAGACACAGGTTGAGTTCTAGACTCCTGGCTTTCAGCTGGTCTAGTGGAGCTGTTGGAAACAACTGGAGAGTGAACCAGCATATATATATTTGTCTCAAATTAAAAAAATGAAAATAGATAATAAGAAAGAACCTGCAGGGCAGGTGTTGTGGTATAGCCAATTAAGCCACCTGTACCAGAGTGCTTGGGATCACGTCCTGCCTTTGACTTCCAATCCAGCTTCCTGCTGATATGTCTAAGAGGCAGCAGATGATGGCTGAAGTACTTGGGTGCTTACCACCCACTTGAGGGACCTAGATGGAGTTCCTGGCTCTGGGCTTCCGACTGGCCCAGCCCTGGTTGTGTGGGCATTGGGGGGAATGAACCAGTAAATGGAAGATCTTACCCTCTGTCATGCTTGACTTTCAAATAAATCAAAATGAACAAGTAAACATTTTTAAAAATGGAGCTACTCTCTGATCCAGCAGTGTCACTACCGGGTATATACTCTAAAGAAATGAAATCACTCTGTCAAAGAGGTGTCTGCACCCCCATGTTCATTGCAGCACTATTCACAATAGTCATGATATACAGTCAAACTAAATGTTCATCAACAGATGAGTGGATAAAGAAAACATGATATATATATGCATATATACATATATATGTCTACACATATGATACACACAAAAAATAGAATACTCTTCAGGCTTTGAAAAGAAGGAAATCTGTCATTTGCAACAATGTGGAGGATATTATGTTGAGTGAAATAAGCCAGGCACAGAAAAACAAATACTGCACGATCTCAGTCGTGAGAGTACTTCAGAAAGTTCATGAAAAGGTGGACATTTGGTACGGCAGGAAAGATGCCTCTTGGGATATGAACGCACCCCGTAAAGAGTGCCTGGGTTCTTCCGTCCACTGGTGTACTCCCCCAAATGCCCGGCCAGGCTGAAGCCAGGAACCAAGAACTCCATTTGGGTGTCCCACATGGGTGGCAGGAATCCAAGCACTTGAGCCATCTGCTGCCTCCCAGGCGCATTAGCAGGGAGCAGAGGAGATGGAAGATGGATCAGCACAACCCCAAGTGGTGGTTTAACCCACCACCCCACAACACTCCCCCAAACTGGTCAATTCTTAACTGACTTCATCTCTGCTGAACTTAGCTAAAAGCAAGTATTGGTAGCCAACACTAACTCATACTCTGACCTGTCCTAAACCACCTCCCTGAGAACCACAGACATGATAATCTTCCAAGTTAACACAGGGACAGTTTCCCCATTACATTCAGGACGAGTCACCAGTCTTCCAGCCTGCAGAATGTTTACCTGCCCACCAATGCCATCCTCGTCTTGGATCTTCCTTAGTGTAGCACACCACTTTCCAGGACCCACTTTCTCCCTCAGGGCACACTCAAAGCTGCTAAAACAAAGAGATCAAGAAATACAGCAACAAAATCAAGGTGAACACTTTTCTGTGGCCTGACAGTGAGAGGCTTGCATGCTTGCAAGCTCGTCTTGTCCTCATGGGTTCACACAGCTTACTACCATTACAGCTGAGTACCAGCCGATGTGCAGGCAGAAGGGGAGGAAATCGCAGAAAGCAAGCAGCTTCTCTTAGGAATCTACCTAACCTAATACCTGTGTGGCACACAACTTGCCTAACTACAATGTCTTTGTGGAACAAAAATAGTCAAGGATACACCCAACGTGGCTGGCACTGTGGCATAGTAGCTTAAGCTTCCGCCTGCTGTGCCAGCATCCTGTATGGTTTGTGTCCCAGCTGCTCCACTTATGATCCAGCTCCCTGCTAATGCACCTGGAAAAGCAGCAGAGAATGGCCCAAGTGCTTGGGTCCCTGCACCCACACGGGAGACCCAAAAGAAGATCCTGGCTCCTGGCTTCGGATTGGCCCACCCTTGGCCTTTGTGGCCAGTTAGGAAGTGAACCAGCAGGTAGAAGACCTCTCTCTCTGTCTCTCCCTTGCTGTCTGCAACTCTCCCTCTCAAATAAGTAAATTTTTTTTAAAGATTTATTTATTTATTTGAAAGAGCTACACAGAGAGAGGAGAGGCAGAGAAAGAGTCTTCCATCCAATGGTTCACTCCCCAGATGGCCGCAATGGCTGGAGCAGCGCTGATCAGAAGCCAGGAGCCTCCTCCAGGTCTCCCACTCGGGTACAGGGGCCTAAGGACCTGGGTCATCTTCTACTGCTTTCCCAGGCCATAGCAGAGAGCTGGGTCAGAAGTGGAGCAGCCAGGTCTAGAACCAGTGCCCAAATAGGATGCCGGCGCTTTCAGGCCAGGGCATTAACCCACTGCGCCACAGCGCCGACCCCAAATAAGTAAATCGGTAAAAAAACAAACAAAAAAAACCAGGTGATACAATTACATAAACTCCCAACATTCTGTACAGTGAGCCACTTAATCTCTACCTACTGTTCAGATCTCATTATATTTATTACTTTTTCTGTTCTGTCTGATCCTAACATTTAATTTTGGTTCTCAAATGCTGTCCAAGTGGAAATCAGAATATTGATAGCATTTACCTTACAATATTGAGCCTTATACATTTTACTAAATTCCCAATAGCACCTCAATAACACACACATGCTGAACCTATTCATGTATAAACCGAATTTGTAGTCTAGAGCTATTTACATTTTGCAGAGATACCTCCTTGTAGACTAGGCTACATCCAAGATACTGTCGAGGCCGTCAGATCATACAGTTTTTCTGTTCTACTTAAGCTGTTCATATCCAAATGATCTGCGCCGCCACCTTCCCAAGCTCCTTTATCTGCCTGTATCCTCCTCCTCACTCCCGTGGACTCAGCGTTGGTCACCTAAGACCAGGCGCCGAGGGTTGGTTGCTAAGAGACAAGACGCTAGGAGGGTGGAGACGCTGCATTGCGACAAGTCTGGGAGCGAAAGCCAAAGGGGGCAGGCGAAGGCACAGGCGAGGCGAGGCGAGGCGAGGCGGCTGCCCGTCGCTGCCGCGCCCGCGGCTCCCTCCCGCCGCGCAGGAGCTCGGCGCTCATTGGCTCCGCCGCTGTGGCGCTGGCCCGCGATTGGCGGAGCGCCCTCTGGCCGGCGCTCTCCCACCCCTCGGCGCTGGTTCCCGGCCGCTGCTACCAGCGCTCTAAGGTGGCGTGTGAGTGCGCCGCGCCGCCGGGGTGCGGGCTGGCTTGCGGGAGAGATTCAGGGTGTGAACGCGGGCGGTGCCGGCAACTGCAGGTGACAAAGGCGCAGCGAGGGCCGCCGCAGCCCTGTGGAGGTGAGCAAGACGCCGACGGAGCAGGAAGTGGAGCGAGGGGCGGTACCGCTCGCAGCCAGCCCGTCCCGCCGCGGCCGCTCGGCCACCACGGGGCAGGCTGGGCCGAAGGCGTGCTCCCCAAACGCCCCCTGACGCCCTGTCGCGCAGCCCGCAGCCCGCAGCGCTCCGGAAGCCCTCCGGCTCGCCAGCCCGGCAGCCAGTCCCGGCCGGAGGACCAGCGGAGGGCGTTCCGGGCCTGTGCCCCGTATCTGTGCTGCTTGGCCCCGCTGCCCCGCACCTTTGTCTGCCCCTCGCCCGCTCCGCGCCCGCAGGGTGTCTGCGCCCACATGGGGAGGGGGTGGGAGCACCGCGAGGGGCTCGGGGTGCCCTGAGGACGCGCCGCGCACTTTGCCGCTGGGCCCAAGGTGTCAAGGGCTTTGATCGACTCATCCTGGGTTTGGGATGTGGTTTTACTTTGTTCTTCCCAAAACCCGCTGCCGCGGTCGTCGTTTGCGGTCAAGGTCGGGAAGCCTGGGCACAGGGCTTCTCTCCGGTCCAGGATGGCCCCGTGTTACCGTCACCCTCTGTTATGCCAAAGGCCTGTCACCTGCCCCTCTGGCCGGCTTCTCTTCCCTTGGCCACTGCCTAGGGGGAAAGTCTCTGTCCACAACAGCCTTTCTGTATTTGAAAAAAGAAAATAAAATTCAGATGTTGCGGACTTGTGTTGCAGGAGTGACTTGGCTTTATCAATACATACATAAGCCTATAAAGAATAGTTTATTAAACAAGTGCAATTTTATCGTTGTTAAATAGCATTTTACTTCAAGATTTTAAAACTTTATAACGTGAATGTGAGATTGATGAATAGTAGTAGTGTGATTTGAGCTTCGAACTTTTTCATATTGTCATTGTTTTTGATAAATTGATACCTTTTCCAGAATGAGGTGCACTGTGACAGCTCTTTCAAGGGAATTTTATTAGAGATTATCCGTCAGTACTATGCCTGTCATACTTACATTCAGACTGTAATGGAAGCTTGCTTTTTTTTGTTTTTTGTTTTGTTTTGGGTTTTGAAAGGAAGAGAGAGAGAGAGAGAAATCTCCCACCTACTGGTTTACTCCCCAGATGCCCTAACCAGCCAGGGCTGGGCCAAGCAGAAGCTTAGATCCAGGAATTCCACTTTGGCTTTCTACGGAGGCCCAACAAAATGATAGTAAAAGCACCTCATGTCCTAACACGCCTCCCAAATTGTGTAGAATGGAAAGTCATGCGCATACAAGGTAAGTAAGTGCAGAGTAGTGCTTTCTTCATTAGTAAGGATCCGGGTGTTTCAACAGTGCTGTTGATTTCTGTTAGGCATATTGATTAAATTGCCACTTGGGACACCCAGGTTTCATATTGGAGTGCCTGGTTTGGTTTTGGGTACCTGCTACTCAGTTCTGATCCAGCATTCCTGCTAATGCCCACCCTGCGAGGCAGTAGGTTATGGCTCGAACGCTTGGGTCTCTGCCACCTATGTGGGAGACCTGGATTGAGATCCCAGCTCCTGGTTTTGGCCTGGCCTAGCCCTGGCAATTGGAGACTTTGGGAAGTGAACCAGTGCGTGGAAGATCCTCCCCCAAATAGGATGAAAATAAATAAATAAAAACTTTGTTTTAAAAGTGTTGCAGGGGCGAGAGTTATGGCATAGTGGGTAAAGCTGCCGCCTAGAACGCTGGCATCCCATGTGGTGCTTGTTTGAGTCCCGTCCGCTTGTTTCTGATTCAGCTTCCTGCTGTTGCACCTGAGAGGCTGCAGATGATGGCTCAAATCCTTGGGTTTCTGGCTCCTGGCTTCAGCCTGGCCTAGCCCTGGCTATTTTGGGCCTTTGGGGGGAGTAGCCCAGCTGATGGAACATCTCTCTTCGTCTATCCCTTCCACCCAATCACCCTGCCTTTTAAAAACGTGGGTCTTATTTTCCTTATACTATCACTGCGATAATTGAAGCTCAGGTTGCACCATTCAAAGTGATAGAGCTGGCTCAATGGCTGACTCTTTGTACTCTTTGTTGGCAGCATACTGCATTGGAATGCTGCTGTCTTATCTATCGTGTTAATGAATCTGTTATTCTAGGACCTCTGGAATGGTAATCTGCTACAAACATGTAGTCCTTACTGTGTGCAAGGTAGCGCTTCCCACTTCTCCACAGCAGTCTGTAAGTAAGCAACTATTGGTTTTACAGATGAGGAAATCGAGGCACAGAGATTAACAAATTGGAACCAGATAATACTGTAAGTGATTGAACCAGCATTCAAAGTTGAACAGTCTGGCTACATAGTCTATATTTGGAACCACTATACTACGTTGGTGCTTCAAGGTATGTCTCTGGTTGAAAGCTATGGTTTTTAGAGTACTTAAGGATTCTCCTTTCTGTTTATTTTTTTTTTTTAAAGATTTATTTGAAAGGCAGAGCGACTGAGAGAGGGAGGGAGAAAGAAATCTTCCATCTGCTGGTTTACTCCCCAAATGACTGCAACAGCTGGGTTTGGGCCACCCTGAAGCTAGGAGCCAAGAACTCCTTCCTGGCTTCCCACATGAGTGGAAGAAGCCCAAGTACTGAGGCTGTCTTCCACTGCCTTCCCATTAATAGCAAGCTGAATCAAAAAATAGTACCCAGTACTTGAACCAGCACTTTGATATGGGATGCAAGCATCATAAGCAGCAGCCTAACTTGCTGTGCCACAATGTGGCCCCGTCATTCTTTGTTCCTTTTTAATGTTCACGCATACACGTGTAGAATATCTTATTCCTACCTGATATCCCAGAGCAGTGTCCTATGTAAACAATTATATAATGTTAACCCGTTAAATCCTAAGTTTTAATTCTGAGACTATTTCAGCAACATTTATTTTGAAGTTACCATTAAGTGGTATATTTATTGCTCAAGCCTTTGTAGGTGTCCTGTGTTTAGGACAATGGGACATAATGAGTTAATCATAGTTAATTTTTATTGAGAGCTTACTACATTCCAACACCTGTGCTGTATTTTAACTATCTCAATCCTCAGAAGTAAATGCTATTATTTTATGCTACATCTAATTTTGAGGTGCCTTGTTGTCTTCAGAGTGCGTTCACATAGTAATCTCTGTTTCTCTCTCTGTCAGAGGTATAACCTTTGACTAATTTTTTTTTAAATACTTATTTATTTGAAAGGCAGAGTCACACACACACACACACACACACACACACACACACATCTGCCATCTTCCTGGTACACTCCTAAATGGTCTTCGTGGCCAGGGCTGCACCAGACTGAAACCAGGAACCTGGAACTCTGTCTGGGTCTCCTACGTGACAGGGGCCCAAGTACTTGGGCCATCTTCCATTGCTTTTCCAGGTTCATTAGCCAGGATCTGGATTGGAAGCTGAGCTGTAGGGACCAGAACCAGCCCTCCAGTGTGGAATGTTGGCATCCTAAGGGGCAGCTTAACCCACAGTATCACAACACTGGCCCCATCACCTAATTCTATAGCTGCAGCTCAGTAAGGTTAGGTGACTTACCCTGACTAGCATGTGATAGAGCTAAAACTCAAACCAGAGCTTCAAGCTTTGTACATTGCCTTTTCCACTGTATTGGTTTTCAGTGTATCTTTGCTTTGTATGTCACATCTTAAAACAGATAATATTTTCCGATAAGAGCAGCTTATATTTGGAGGTTGTATTTCCAACCCAGAACCCAGTGTTACTTTTATCATAGATATGACTAGCCACAAACCTTTGGCTTTCTTTTCATTGGTCAATTTATGTTTCAACTGTAGGTACAATGCCTGCCACGTAGTGGAGTTTCAGTATATGTTTGAATAAAATAAGAAGTGTCTGATATAAACATTAGTATTAAAAGGTTGCTGAAATGTTCTAAATTTGAGTGAATACTTTATTTTCTCTCCTATAACTCAGCTTTCCCCTCCTTCATCTCAGAGTCAGAATTTTGTCCAAATGGTTTCACTGAATTATAACTAACTTAAAATGTATTAGGCTTGGCCAGTGCCGTGGCTCACTAGGCTAATCCTCTGCCTGCGGCGCCAGCACACCAGGTTATAGTCCGGGTCGGGGCGCCAGATTCTGTCCCGGTTGCCCCTCTTCCAGGCCAGCTCTCTGCTGTGGCCTGGGAGTGCAGTGGAGGATGGCCCAAGTGCTTGGACCCTGCACCCCATGGGAGACCAGGATAAGTACCTGGCTCCTGGCTTTGGATCAGCGCAATGCGCCAGCCGCAGCAGCCATTGGGGGATGAACCAACGGCAAAGGAAGACCTTTCTCTCTGTCTCCCTCTCTCTCACTGTCCACTCTGCTTGTCAAAAAAAAAAAAAAAAATGCATTAGGCTGTGTCCCTCCCAACCATAAACCATTATTCCCAACTCACTATCTCCCCAGTATTTCACTTCTATTGAATAGAAAGAGCATAGGTTTGAGAGTCAGTTTACTTGGGTTTGAATCCTTGCTTTGCCTCCTACTCTCTCTCACCTTGTACAAAACACATAACTTCTCTGAACCTCTTTCCTTGTCTTGTAAAATTGGGGAGGCCACCTGTTTTATGGGGGTGTAATGAGAACTTCTTGAAATAACTTTTGAAAGACTTTGCACAGTTCCAGGCTCTTAGTAGATAATCAGTCAATAACAGCTGTTCTGTGTCCTTCCTCTGCCTCTCTCTGGCTCCTCTTTGCTTTGACTCTTAACCAAAATTATATTAATATGATAAAATCAGAGACCACATGGCCTGGCCATGCGTTTGTACATAGTTGAGGCTCACTAAATGTTGAACTGCGCCTATTTGGAATGTTATCAACGATGTATGTATGTATGTGAGAGAAAAAGAGAGAGCGAAAAGTCTTGGCCACCCTTGCTAAGATGAGGAGCACTAGTTATGTAACTCAAGGGCTCCTGGATTAAATTAAAGGTTGTGATGGGGAGCCAGGTGAAGAAGTATGGGAGGCCTCCGCTCTGCAGGAGTGAGTGAGTGAGTGTGTGTGTGTGTGTGTGTGTGTGTGAGGGCCTTTCTATATGAGTGTCAGCATGAGTGTATTTGAAGGTTGTAAAGATTAAAGTTCATCAAGCCAGTCATCACATTGCTTCTTTTTTTTGTTTTGTGGTTTTTTTGTTGTTTTTGTTTTTTGACAGGCAGAGTGGACAGTGAGAGAGAGAGACAGAGAGAAAGGTCTTCCTTTGCCGTTGGTTCACCCTCCAATGGCCGCCGCGGCTGGCGCGCTGCGGCTGGCGCGCCATGCTGATCCGAAGGCAGGAGCCAGGTACTTCTCCTGGTCTCCCATGCGGGTGCAGGGCCCAAGCACTTGGGCCATCCTCCACTGCACTCCCTGGCCACAGCAGAGAGCTGGCCTGGAAGAGGGGCAACCGGGACAAAATCCGGCGCCCCGACCGGGACTAGAACCCAGTGTGCTGGCGCCGCAAGGTGGAGGATTAGCCTAGTGAGCCGCGGCGCCGGCCATCACATTGCTTCTAAAGACAAGGAAGAAGAGAAGAACTTCCCAAAGAAAAGTTATTTCAATTGACAGTTGTTATATAATCATCCCCACCTTTTATAACTAGGAATTCTACAGCACAATAACAATGAATACGCTTTACCTAAAATGTCAGATTAACTTGATTTTTTAAATTTATTTATTTATTTATTTTTATTTTTTGACAGGCAGAGTGGACAGTGAGAGAGAGAGACAGAGAGAAAGGTCTTCCTTTGCCGTTGGTTCACCCTCCAATGGCCGCCGCAGCTGGCGCGCAGCGGCCGGCACACCGCACTGATCCGATGGCAGGAGCCAGGAGCCAGGTGCTTTTCCTGGTCTCCCATGGTGTGCAGGGCCCAAGCACCTGGGCCATCCTCCACTGCACTCCCTGGCCACAGCAGAGAGCTGGCCTGGAAGAGGGGCAACCGGGATAGAATCCGGCGCCCCAACTGGGACTAGAACCCGGTGTGCCGGCGCCGCTAGGCGGAAGATTAGCCTAGTGAACCGCGGCGCTGGCAACTTGATTTTTTTAAACAAAAGATTTATTTATTTGAAAGGCAGTTACAAAAAGAGGGAGAAGCAGAAAGAGAGATCTTCCATCTGCTGGTTCGCTCCTCAAATGGCCACAACAGCTGGGGCTGGGCCTGGGCCTGGGCCTGGGCCTGGCCAAAGACAGGAGCTGGTAGCTTCATCCATGTTCTTCCACATGGGTGCAGGGGCCCAAGCGCTTGGACCGTCCTCCACTGCTTTCCCAGGCACAACAGCAGGGAGCCAGATTGGAAGTGGAGCAGCCAGGACTTAAAACAATCTATTTGGAATTTCGGCACTGCAGGCAGTAGCTTAATCTGCTGTAGCACAGTACCAGGCCCATGATTTTAAATTTCATTTTATTCCATCAGTAAAAAATCAATATGCTCAGCTTTCGCTGTAGCATCGACATTCACTAACAGACGAAAAGGGGAATATTGCTTAGGAATTGAATGAAATAATGATTCTTTTTATAACTAGCTATGTTTTAGGAGGCTTCTTTTTTTTTCTTGTAAGATTTATCTATTTATTTGAGAAGCAAAGTTACAGAGAGGGAGAGACAGAGTTCTTCCATTTGCTGGTTCACTTCCCAAATGGCCACAACAGTTGGAGCTAGGCTGATCCAAAGCCAGGAGCTTCTTTCTTGAGTGCAGGGGCCCAAGGACATGGGCCATCTTCCACTGCTTTCCCGTGCTATTAGTAAGGAGCTGGATTAGAAGTTTTAGCAGCTGGGATTCGAAATGGTATCCATATGGGTTACTGGTACTGCAGGCAGAGGCTTAGCCTACTACGCCACAGCACCAGCTCCAAAGAAGAATTTTTTACTTTTTTTATTCCATTATCTATGAATTGCTAATCAGCATATCAATCAAAAACACATAAGCAAGATAAATTGTATTCAGTCTTTTCCCCCCAATATTTTTTCTTTCCTTGTCCCTTTCTCTCTCTTTCTTTCTCTGTCGTTTCTCTCCCTCCCTCCCTCCCCCTCTCACTTTCTCTCTTCCTTCCTCCCTTTCTTATTTATTTAAAAGACTAAAGGGGCGAGGGCAGGGATCTTCCATTTTCTGGTTCACACCCCAAATGCTTGCAATAACCAGGTCTGAACCAGTCCAAAGCCACGAGCCAGGAACTCCATCCTGATTCCCACCATGGGTTGCAGGGACCCAAGCACTTGGGCCATCCTCTGCTGCCCTTCCAGGTACATTAGCGAGGAACTGGATCAGAAGTAGGAATAGCCAGCACACAAACCAGCACCCTGATAATGGCATGCCAGCAGCAGTAGCTTAATCTGCTACACCACAATGCTGCCTCTGCCTCTGTCTCTCTCTCTGTCTCTCTCTCTCTCTCTCTCTCTCCCCCTCTTAATTTGAAAGGCTAAGAGAAATAGATAGGGAGAAGAGAAAGATCTTCCATCTGCTGGTTTACTCTCCAGATGCCCACAACAGCCAGGACGGGGCCAAACTGAAGCCAGGAGCTTCAGTCTGGGTCTCCCATGTGGATGGCAGGGACCCATAAGCTTCAGCCATCACCTGCTGCCTCCCAGAGTACACTTTAGCAGGAAGCTGGAATTGGAAGTGGAGCTGGGACTGAATCCAGGCACTCCAATAAGGGATGCAGGTGTCCCATCCAGTTTCTTAACCACTGTGCCAAGTGCGTATCCCTCCTCCCCAGTATTTTATTACAAAATATTTGAACATCTAGCAGATTGTCAGAAATAATTTTACAGTGTACACCTATAAGCCCATCATCTAGATTCTGCCATTAATATATTTTTTCTTTTTTTTTAAAATTTTTTGACAGGCAGAATGGACAGTGAGAGAGAGACAGAGAGAAAGGTCTTCTTCCTTTGCCGTTGGTTCACCCTCCAATGGCTGCCACGGCCAGCGCTCTGCGGCCGGCGCACCGCGCTGATCCAAAGCCAGGAGCCAGGTGCTTCTCCTGGTCCTCCCATGTGGGTGGGTGCAGGGCCCAAGCACTTGGGCCATCCTCCACTGCACTCCCGGGCCACAGCAGAGAGCTGGACAGGAAGAGGAGCAACCGGGACAGAATCTGGCGCCCTGACCGGGACTGGAACCCCGTGCGCTGGCGCCACAGGCGGAGGATTAGCCTTAGTGAGCCGTGGTGCTGGCCCCATTAATGTATTTTTCAAAGATTTATTTACTTATTTATTTGAAAGAGAGGGAGAAAATCTTCCATCTACTAGTTCACTGGAATAACTGGGGCTGGGCCAGGCTGAAGCCAGGATCTCTGTCAGCATCTCCCACATTGGTGGCAGGGACCCATAACCCAGGCCATTCTGTGCTGATTTCCCTGGTGCATTAGTAGGAAGCTGGATTGGGAAGCAGAGAAGCCAAGACTCAAACCAGCTGTCTGATGTGGAATACTGATGTCAAAAGTAGTGGCCTAACCTGCTGCACCACAATGCCAGCCCTTAGCGTTAATATTTTATTCTGCTTGTTTTTTTTTTTTTTAATCACCTGTGTGTCTGTATCATTCTATACATCCATGTATTGATGTATGCTCAAATGTTTTTGTACTTGAAGGGATTTGGACTGTTAATTTTTGTTTATTTTAGGTTAGTTTTATTTTTCTTTTACTAGTTGCAAATAATTCTTAGGAATAAATTGTAACTGATTTATAATGCTCTAAAAACATTGGGATTTCCAGTGTAAATAAAGCTGTTTGTCTTCCTTACCCATAGTTTCTAAAGATGAGTCGTGAATATTCAGAGAACAACAATTTCCTGAACAATAACAACCAAATGGTGTTGGACATGATCCTTTATCCATTAATTGGCATCCCTCAGACCATCAACTGGGAAAGTGTGGCAAGGCTTGTGCCTGGATTAACACCCAAAGAGGTAAAGAATAGTTCCCCAGATACCTTCTGCAAAAAACTTAGAAAAAGTGATCAATTTAAAGAAAGAACTAAGAGAGAAAGCAGTTGGACTGTTTATATATGCATATATGAATGTATATATGTATCTATGGTTTGACAAATGCAAAGTTTATAAATTATGTTACCCACCTGGTTTATTTAAATTCAACTTCATCTTGCATGTTAACAACAGCTGAAAAGTCATTAATATCTTTATTTAAGCATTTGGAGTTTTAGCAAAAAAAATCATTATTTATTCCACTGTATTGAAATGTTTCTCCTGTGTTTTCTAGTAATTTCATAGTTTTCAGGTGTTACATTAAGGTTTTTGATCCATTTTGAGTTGATTCTGGTATGGGTAGGGGGTTTGGCAAATTGTTTGTGCATTGCCATGAGCTTTTCAAAGCCTTCTTTTGCCACTTTTCCCCCCTTAGCCTCCTCCGAAGCTTACGTGGCACTGCACCATCAGTCACCTTCATTCAGTGCCTGTGCGTCTCTCCCCTGCCCTGTCCCTCTCCCACCTGCTATTGCTTGGTGCTGATTTAATTGTAAACAGAAAGCAGATGAGCACTGAAATTATGCTTTCATTTTGATGATGTATATGATTTTACTAAGGTGGGCCTCACAATCAAAATTTAAAATTTAAAAATCCTGATAGGGAATAATCCTGCAGTTCATCCCTGGACACTGTTGGAGAAGCATCTCAGGATTTCTGCTGTTAAAAGGAACCCTGAAGTGCTTGAATCACCTCAGTTCTAGAAGTAGAAATGACCAATTTACCTTCTTAGGAAGCTTAAGCATACTCAGAGCAAGTTACAAATTCAACAAAATCCCCATCAAATACTTCAGTGACATTCTCCGTAGGACTGGGGGGGGGAATCCCAAAATTCATATGATAGAAGCACAAAAGACCCCTAAATAGACAAAGCAGCCTTGAGCAAGAAGAACAAAGCTGGAGGCATCACAATACCTGATTTCAAGAAATGCTACAGAGCTATTGTAACAAATGCAGCATGGTACTGGCTTGAAAATAGGTAGACCAGTGGAACAGAATAGGTACCAAGGAATGAATCTGTGCCTCCATAGCCAACTGATTCTCAACAAAAGAGCCAAAAATATACATTGGAGAAATGACCCTCAATAAATGGTTCTGAGAAAACTGGATGTCCATATGTAGAAAATTGAAGATTGACCCCTCCCCACTGCCCTGCCCATCACAGACACTGAGGAAGTATGTGTTGAATAGTGAATGAATCAAGTTCTGTCTTCTGCTTTTACAGCTGAGAAAACTGGGACCCACAGAGACTACTTGCACTCAGACTCTTTTCTACTTAGTGCTTATATAAAAACTATTTTCTCTGTGCCTCACCATTTTTTAAATGTAATTTTAAAATTTTATTTAAACAGGCATACTGATTATATAATATTTAAGTCTGCGTGTAGACCTCTTTTAAATGCCTTTTTTACAAGGGTTACTTCATTTTCAAAGACCTAAACCTTGTGTAAACATATCTTTGTATTAACAGTAACCATGTAAATAATAATTACCTAAAATAGTGCTTGATATCTAGCAGGTACTTGGTAAGTATCTGTTTAATAAATGCATGCTTTGCACTTTCCTGATAGCTAATGCATGTTATTCATTGAATATATACACATGCACAGTCTATATTTCTCATTTTACACCCTTTAGATTACTTGGTCTGCTGTGTAACTTGCTGTCTACATTGATGTTGATAGAGATTTAAAATTGGATGCTATTGCAGTGTTGTTTGACTTAAGATCTACAGCAAAGAAGGCTCTTTTATATCATGACCTAGTAAACATGTAGAAATATTTTTGTAAGAGTGCTTATTTGTACTGTGCTTACTGTAGTCTTGATATTTTCTAATTATTTTTTAAAAATTTTTACTTATTTATATTTTATTTGAAAGGTAGACAGGCAGAGATCTGCCATCTACTCATGTATAACCCAAATGTCCTCAACAGGCAGGGCTGGGCCAGCCTAAAACCAAGAGCCGAGAACTCAGTCTGGGTCTCCCACATGGGTGACAGGGACCCAACTATTTTAACACGACTCCCAGGATGTGCATTCTCAAGAAGCTAGAATGGAGAACATAGACAGGGCTGAAACCCAGACACTCAAATAGGGCATGTGGGCATCCCAAGCAGTGTTTTAACTGCTATACTAAATATGCCCTCCCCACTTTGAGAAAGAGAGAAATCTTCCATCTGGTGGTTCTCCCCCCAAATGGAGGCAACAGCCAAGGATGGGCCAGACTGAAGCTAGGAGCCAGGAACTCCATCCTGGTCTCCCACATAGGCCTAAGGACTTGGGCCATCTTCCACTACTTTCTTAGGTGCATTAGCAGGGAGCTGGATTGGAATTGAAGCATCCTGGAATCGTACCAGTGCTCATATGGGGTGCTGGCATCATTGTTACTCTGGGTTTTATAAACTGATTTCACGATCAACTAATAGGTTAAGGTAAAACTCTCCTAGAGCAAACTGTGATGAAATACTAACATATATGACTCTGAAGTGTTACCACAGTACATATTTTTTTAAAGATTTTATTTTTTACTTGAGAGTCAGAGTTACACAGAGAGAAGAGAGGCAGAGAGAGAGGTCTTACATCCAATGGTTCACTCCCCAGTTGGCCACAGCGGCCGGAACTGCGCCGATCCGAAGCCTGGAGCCAGGAGCTTCTTCCGGATTTCCCACGTGGGTGCAGGGGCCCAAGGACTTGGACCATCTTCTACTGCTTTCTCAGGCCATAGCAGAGAGCTGGATCGGAAGTGGAGCAGCCAGGACTAGAACCGGCACCCATATGGGATGCTGGTGCTTCAAGCCAGGGCATTAACCCACTGCGCCACAGCGCCGGCCCCACCACAGTATATTTTGTATAAGGTCAATCTCACTGTTCGTGAAAACAGAGACTTTATTAGTAATTTTATTAAAGAAAATCTGATGTCATAAATCAGACACTTTTTTTTATTTTTTTATTTTTTGACAGGCAGAGTTAGACAGTGAGTGAGAGAGAGAGAAAGGTCTTCCTTCCATTGGTTCACCCCCTAAATGGCCACTACGGCCGGTGCACTGCGCCAATCCGAAGCCAGGAGCCAGGTACTTCCTCCTGGTCTCCCATGTGGGTGCAGGGCCCAAGCACTTGGGCCATCCTCCACTGCCTTCCCAGGCCACAGCAGAGAGCTGGCCTGGAAGAGGGGCAACCGGGACAGAATCTGGCGCCCCAACCGTGACTAGAACCCGGTGTGCCGGCGCCACAGGCGGAGGATTAGCCAAGTGAGCTGCGGCGCCAGCCAATCAGACACTTTTTAGTTTGCTTCCTATCAAAGTTTAGAATTTGGTTTTATTCTTAGTGTATATTCAGTTAATGTAAAAGTTTTTAGCAGAATTTTAGTATTATCAGCTAGTGATACATGTAGACTAAAAAGAAATATGATTGTCAAGAGTCTTTTTCTACAAGAAATTGAATATGTTATGCCTTTGGGTTAAAGCATATTTTTAAAAATTCCACCCTGAATAGATAAAAAATTCAGTTGTTACCAAATTAATATTTACTTAGAAAGTAATGATCGTAGAAAAGTGTCTTCAGATAGAAAGCAAGGGGGCTGGCGCTGTGATGTAGTAGGCTAAGCCTCTGCCTGCAGCGCCAGCATCCCATATGGGCCCCAGTTCAAGTCCCAGCTGCTCCTCTTCTGATCCAGGTCTCTGCTGATGGCCTGGGAAACCAGTAGAAGATATCCCAAGTGTGGGCCCCTGTACCCATGTAGGAGACCAGGAAGTAGCTCCTGGCTCCTGGCTTTGGATCACACAATTTTGGCCGTTGCAGCTATTTGGGGAGTGAAACAGCAGATGGAAAACTTTTCTCTCTGTGTCTCACTCTGTCTGTAACTCTACCTTTCAAATAAACAAATAAAATATTTTTTAGAAAAAGAAAATATGTTATCTCTCTTTTTTAAAAAGATTTATTTATTTAAAAGGTAGAATTAGAGAGAGGGGGAGGGACAGGGAGATAGAGCTCTTACATCCTCTGGTTGACTCTCCAAATGGTTATAATAGCGGGGAGCTGGGCCAGGCTGATGCCAGGAACCACGAGCTTATTCTGGGTCTGCCATGTGGGTGGCAGGGGCCCAAGCATTTGCGCCATCTTCTACTGCTTTCCCAGGTACATTAGCAGGGAATTGAATTCTTAGTGAAGCACCTGGGACATGAAACAGCACCCATGTGGGATGCTGGCATTATAGGTGGCAACTTCACCCACTGTACCACATTGGCCCCTGTTTTTTTTTTTTTATTTAAAATGTTCATATTTTTTATTTAAAAAAATCCTGAATGGGTGAGCATTTGTACTAGTGGTCAAGACACCAGTTGAAATGCCTGCATCCCAGATCAGAGTGCCTGGATTCAAGTCCCAACTGCTCCCTGCTAATACACACCGTTATAATAGAAAGCAGTGGTGAAGGCTCAAGTAGCTGGGTTCCTGCCAGCCACATAGGAGATCCAGATTGAGCTCCCAGCTTCTGCCAGGCCCAGCCCCAGCTGTTGAGGGCATTTTGGGAATGAACCTGCAGATGGAGGATAGCTCTGTCTCTCTGCTGCTGCTCAAATATAAATAGATAATAAAAATTTTAAAATCCTCCAAACCTCTTTATTTTTTTTTCATGTTATGTCATAACAGTGTGCAAAACGGTTTGATGAGCTGAAAAGCAGTGGAAACTCGCCTGTTGACAACCAGTATAGTCCCCTCATGGCTGCTGGAGAGAGTCCCGTTGAAACCTTAGCCACATACATCAAATCCTCTCTTTTGGATACACAGGGAGACATTCAGGAGACTGCAGTTGATCAGGATGCAGTTTCTAAGTCAGGTAAAATTTCAAAGTAAAATGTAGTACTTGGCCTATAATTCCATGGGATTTTATACATTCCTCTCAGCTTTTCTTTTTTTAAAGGCTAATATGACATTAATATTAGTTTTTGAATCTTCTTGAAAAACATTTAAAGTGTTATTATATAGGTCAGACACTATTACCAAAGCAAAGTGTTTACTGTATCAAAGTTTCCTACTCCAGTCTGTTGCCCTGGTTATCCTGTTTATCATTTACTATAAATATTCTTTTACTTTAAAGGAATTTCTAAAATGATTTATTTATTTGAAAGGCAGAGTGACAGAGAAAGAGATCTTCCATTCATTGCTCCAGTCCCTAAATGCCCATGACAGCAGGGTCTGAGTCAGACTGAAGCTAGGAGCAGGAATTCCATCCAGGTCTCCTGCATGGGTGGCAGGAACCCAAGTACTTGGGCCATCATCTGCTGTATCCCAGGTGCATGAGTAGGAAGCTGGATTAGAAGCGGAGGCAGGACTCGATCCCAGGCACTTAGACGTGGGATGCAGGCATCCCAAGTGGCAGCTTAACCCACTGCTCCATAAGACCTTTCCTCTTTTAAAGGAATTTGACATATACTTTGTACTTCATTATCTTTTTCTTACTGAGAGTCTTGCTTATCTCTCATATAATCTTTTTTTTAAAGATTTATTTATTTATCATTTGAAAGGCAGAGTTACAGAGAAAAAGAGGGAAGAGATTTCCATCCTGTGGTTCACTCCTTCAAATGATTGCAGCAGCTGGAGTCAGGAGCTTCTTTGGGGTCTCTCACTTGGGTGGCAGGGGCCCAACTACTTGGACCATATTCTGCTGCTTTCTCAGGCATTTCCAGGGTGCTCAATCAGAAGTGGAGCAGCCAGGACTCGGACCAGTGCCCATACGGGATACCAGTGTTGCAGGCAGTGGCTTAACCTACTGTGTCACAGCGCCAGCCCTTCTCATGTAATCTTTTTTAAAGTTACTCTTTATTACAGTTAACAAGAGCTTCAAATGACACTGGCAGGGAGAAGAGAAATTTTCTGCAGTTTTATTAGAAATAATTGGTTTTAGAAAACCTTAATATGAATTGAGTTATTTTATTCTCAGCAGCAGCAGAGTTTTGATATAAATATATTTGCTTCAGGAAGAGAAAACTGTGCCATTGGCTTCTGAACATTTGGTCCCTATTTGTACACGTCACCTCAGTATTTGAAATCTGCTCTATAACATTAGCAATTTGTGATCCGCTTTTTTATGCTATTTTTCAATATACTTTTAGAAATAGGGAAATGCCACCTGACAAGTACAGTCTTTAAGAAGCCTTGAAATCATGCGTTTACAGTATTACCATTCAATAGGTAAAACCCATAATCAGCTAGAAATGCTAACCAGCACCCCTCCCTTTTTCTTTTTCTTTTTCTTTTTCTTTTCTTTGTATGTGTTTGTTTCTGTATTTAAGGAAGACATAGTATAGCTTCCACAAGGAATTGTTCTTCAGAAAGTGAAAATTGTACTACTCATAATGGTGGAGAAAAGACTGAAGAATCTGAAGGGTAGGAGGCTGGCTGTTTGCTAGATAAGCTTTAATGTTCATATCAATGTTATAAAATATATTGTGATTTATTTATCAGTTACCATAATTTAGGAATTTCACATTACACAATGCTAAAACAATTGGAATCAGCTTAGTTCACATTTAGAACTGTAAATAGCTGCTTAATACCTAAACATATGACTTACTCATGCTGTTGTTTAGTTGGACTATATAGATTTACATGTTTACAAATTCACTTTGATATTTTGTCAATACTAGCGATAACATCATTAAATTTTGAAAAGTAAAGTATAACATCCCCCAAAAATCTGTTACTAGTTTTCCAATTTTACTACAGACTAGAAGTGTATTTTAGAACTATTTGAATATAATTACTCATAACTGAAGCAGAATGTGTTTTTCAATATGTTATTTTGATAGTTTTATACTGTTTGTATATTGTAAACAAATGTTTGCTTTGATGAATTTTGAAAATGAGTACACCATATAACCATTGCCCAAATCAAGGGACAGAACATTTTCATCATCCCCTGAAAGTTTCTTTGTATACCTTTACTTTTGATAGATTTTTTTTAAATAGTAGGTTTACTAATACGTAATTCACATGTCATAAAATGTACTCTTGAAAAAGTCTGAAGATAGTGGTGATGGTTGTGCAACAGTGTGACTATGCTTAATTCCCTGAACTGGACACTTAAAAATGGTTAAAATGACAAATTTTACATTATGTATATTTTACTACAATAAAAAAGAATTACCTCTGTATATAGTTCAGTGATTTTTAACTGGTAGGTTTGTGTGGCACTAAAATTTGCTAGTTTTTTTTAACTGGAATTATCTACTATTCCATATTTTCATCCAAAAAGCCATAGAAATTTTATGCTTTATTTTACCAGAAATTACCTGTTTATATTTGACCATAATTACCTTTAAAGAACAGTTTGTGAGAAGTTATTTGAATTATTTTCTAGCCCAATTTTATTTCAAAAGTAATTTTTTTTTTAGACATTGTGAAATTCAGTTAAAATAAATTCATACTGTAGGCTAGTGTCTATTGTTTTCCTTTTGTGGTGGCGTGAAGGCAAATGTGGGTCACACTGGTGTTTCTATTTGAGGTGACGCAATTTTCAAAGAAAGTAAATTCAAGCAGTATATGGTTTTTGAAGAAAACTTTCTAGTGCATCATCTAAACTAGTTCTTAAATTATTTTTAAATATGCAAATATATTGTCCTAACAATTTTTAAGTGTATTTTTTATTTATACTTTTTGAATACAAACCTAAAAGCAAAATTTCTTGCTATTAAAAATAAGCCATGCTAACTTTTAATTGGATTTGTCAGTAAACCATTTAAACTGTTTTTCCTTTTTGTGAGTATGAAAATGTAGTATTTAACCATTATTTTCCTCTCTTACTCATAATCACTTAAAAATGCCATTTTATGTTCCTTGCAAAAATCAGAATGTATTAATTTATCTTGGTTAATTGGCATTGTTTTTATATATATTACATTTAATATATAACTGAAAAATAAATTTTAAACTGAAATTGAGTCCTTTAATAACAATATTTTTGTCTTATTAAGTCAGTAGCTTAGCAAAATTAGTCTTAATCTTAGATACAAACAGGCTATCAAAATAATTTTGAAAAATTCTGAATGTCAAACTCTATAAAATTGTTGTTGGTCAGAATCTTCAAGAACTTCTTACCATCACTAAATGTTAATATTCATGGCTCCTCTTCTGAAACTAATGATTTCATTTCTGTGTAATATTTTTATGAAGGCCAAACATGGTGATCCATGTATGTGATGAAGCAAAAAACTTAAAAGAAGATTTTATTTGCCCACGAGATCTTTTGATATCAGAAATGAAGTACTTTGCTGAATATTTATCAATGGATGCCCAGCGCTGGGAAGAGGTGGACATTTCAGTTCATTGTGACGTTCATATTTTCAACTGGTTGATAAAATACGTTAAAAGGAACACTGAGGAGAATAAAGATTCTGAGATGCCCACTTTAGGTAAAAGACAATCTGTTGCTTATTTTGTAGCAAAATTTGTTTGTCACCTGATAGCTGTTTCAGGCCATAAGTGAAATGTAGAAACCTATTTGAACATTAGTATTTATGCTTATATCAGTAACAGCCTTTTAGGAAGCTGGTATCTTTTTGTAAATTTACTTAAGAGTAAATTATGGCAAAGGTCTGTAGATTGGCAGTTCTCAACAAGTGAGGTCCTGGAGACTCTTTTAGAAGGTCTGTAGGTCAAGACAGTTTGAGTTATGATTCCAGCATGTTATCGACATATGTTCAGGTGGTGCAGAAGCAATGATGAGTAAAACTGTTGGAGCTTTCTCCAGATCAAGGCAGGGAACTGGAGTCATTGTGGTCTTCAACATTAGGCACTCATAGTTAAAAGGGAAAAAAAAAAGAAAAGAAAACATCCAGTTTTGTTTAGGAATGTCCTTGATGAAACAGTAAAAAGTTACTAATTGTATTAAATCTTGACCCTTGTCTTGACCCTTGTATAGGCATTCTTGTAATTGTGTGGTGGAAGGGGAAACTCACTTCTGCTGTATACCACTGTATCATGGTTGTCTCGAGGAATTGTTTGAGTCATGAGCTAACCTAGCCGCTTTTTTTTAAGATTTATTTATTTATTTGAATGTCAGAGTTACAGAAAGAGGGCAGGAGAGACAGAGAAGAGATCTTCCATCTGCTGATTGACTCTCCAAAAGGCCACAATGGCCAAGGCTGGACCAGGCCAAAGTCAGGAGCCAGGAGTTTCCTCTAGGTCTCCATGTGGGTGCAGGGGCCCAAAAGCTTGGGCCATCCTCTGCTGTTTTCCCAGGCCACCAGCAGAGAGCTGGATTGGAAATAAAGCAGCTGGGACATGAGCTGGCACCAAATATAATGCCAGTGTCACAGGTGATGGCTTTACCTACTACACCACAGTGCCAGCCCCCACCTAGCTACTTTTTAAGGACTAGAAAACCATTTTTACTTGAGAGAAATTGTGCTTATTCAAACACTTTCTTGAAAATTAATTAGTCATTTAAGTGAAAACAGTTGACTGGTTATTTTTGTCAGTGGTAAAATTCTAGCTTTCAGGCCGGCGCCGCGGCTCACTAGGCTAATCCTCCCCCTTGCGGCGCCAGCACACCGGGTTCTAGTCCCGGTCGGGACGCCGGATTCTGTCCCGGTTGCTCCTCTTCCAGGCCAGCTCTCTGCTGTGGCCAGGGAGTGCAGTGGAGGATGGCCCAAGTCCTTGGGCCCTGCACCCCATGGGAGAGCAGGATAAGTACCAGGCTCCTGCCATCGGATCAGCGTGGTGCGGCGGCCATTGGAGGGTGAACCAACGACAAAGGAAGAAGACCTTTCTCTCTGTCTCTCTCTCTCATTGTCCACTCTGCCTGTCAAAAAAAAAAAAAAATTCTAGCTTTCAAATGAGAAATTAAAGTTTGCAGAACTTACCTGCTTCCAAGATCTGTCTACAGCTTCTCAGTAGTTTTCTGATGAGATTGGTGATCGTGTTAACAAATGAGATTATTTAAAGATAGATAGAGTACAATGAAATGTCTTTTTAAAGATTTATTTTTCATTTATTTGAAAGACAGAGTTAGAGAGGAGGAGGGAAGAGAGAGAAAGGAGTGAACGGCTGGGCCATTGTGAAGTCAGGGGCCAAGAGGTTCTTCCAGGTCTCCCCCATGGGCGCAGGGGCCTCAGGACTTGGGCCATCTGTCACTGCTTTCCCACCATAGCAGAGAGCTGGATCAGAAGTGGAGCAGCCAGGTCTCGAACCAGTACCCATATGGGATGCCGGCACTGCAGATTGCGTTTTAACCACAACACTGGCCCCGCCAGCTGCCTTTTCCCTGAGTTCACCATTCCTATTTTGAGAAGGTTTAATCTAAAATTGTTATTTATTGAAAGATTGGGATCACTTATTTTAAACATTGTCTTCCTAGTACAGGAAAAATTGCTAGTACTAAGCATTTAGAAGAATTGTTATTGTGTTGTAGTGGTGGAAACATTACAATATTTCCTTTTTCTTAAATATGCCTCACGGGAGATGACAGGTATACTCAAACTACCATATCAGGCGTCACCCTCTTTTCTGCTCTGTGTGCCTGAAGGCTGACATTTCTGCAGGGGGAAATTTTTTACCTCTCAGGATCTTTTTTTTTTGTTTTGTTTTGTTTTGTTTTGTTTTGTTTTGTTTTTGTTTTTTTTTTTTTTTTGACAGGCAGAGTGGACAGTGAGAGAGAGAGACAGAGAGAAAGGTCTTCCTTTGCCGTTGGTTCACCCTCCAATGGCCGCCGCGGCTGGCGCACCGCGCTGATCCGATGGCAGGAGCCAGGAGCCAGGTGCTTTTCCTGGTCTCCCATGGGGTGCAGGACCCAAGCACCTGGGCCATCCTCCACTGCACTCCCGGGCCACAGCAGAGAGCTGGCCTGGAAGAGGGGCAACCGGGACAGAATCCGGCGCCCCGACCGGGACTAGAACCCGGTGTGCCGGCGCCGCTAGGCGGAGGATTAGCCTAGTGAGCCGCGGCGCCGGCCCCCTCTCAGGATCTTTTTAAATTAACTATTCATGGGGCCGGTGCTGTGGTGCAGTAGGTTAATCCTCCGCCTGCGGCATCCCATATGGGCACTGGGTTCAAGTCCCATTTGCTCCTCTTCCAGTCCAGCTGTCTGCTGTGGCCTGGGAAAGCAGTAGAAGATGACCCAAGTGCTTGGGCCCCTGCACCCACATGGGAGACCAGGAGGAAGCACCTGGCTCCTGGCTTCAGATTGGCGTAGCTCCGGCCGTTGCAGCCATTTGGGGAGTGAACAAACGGAAGGAAGACCTTTCTTTGCCTCTCTCACTGTCTGTAACTCTACCTGCCAAATAAATAAAAATCTTTAAAAATAATTTTAAAAAATAACTAAACTATTCTGTAACAAACGTTGAACTCCTTTTTAAATAACTTCACTTACAAGTGTGCTCATTAATCATTTTTTAAAATTTCTTTACTTTGACTTTTGCATGTGTTTATGGGCATTGCAAACCTAGGCACCCTCCCCAACTCCCGTCCCCTGTGTCCTGAATTCTATTACTTGATATGAATCCCATTTCAGGACAAATTTACTATGTGTATTCTTTATACTCTTAGTTTTAACACTGAATTTTCTTTTTTGTAACTATTTGTAAGCTATATGGCTTATAAAGTTTATATTAAATTGTCTTTATGAAAGTACATTCGCTTTAACGTGAAAAGGAGCCTGTTCTCAGGAGACTGAAATACAAATCAAGAGAAATTTTTATTTTTTTCTCTCTTGTTTTTTAGAGCCAGGAAATGTCATTTCAATTCTTATATCTTCAGAGTTTTTGAAAATGGATTCATTGGTAAGTACTTATTAAATTTTATTTTATTTATTTATTTATTTTTGACAGGCAGAGTGGACAGTGAGAGAGACAGAGAGAAAGGTCTTCCTTTGCCGTTGGTTCACCCTCCAATGGCCGCCGCGGCCTGCGCGCTGCAGCCGGCACACCGCGCTGATCTGAAGGCAGGAGCCAGGTGCTTCTCCTGGTCTCCCATGGGGTGCAGGGCCCAAGCACTTGGGCCATCCTCCACTGCACTCCCTGGCCACAGCAGAGAGCTGGCCTGGAAGAGGGGCAACTGGGACATCCAGCGCCCCGACCGGGACTAGAACCCGGTGTGCTGGCGCCGTAAGGCGGAGGATTAGCCTATTGAGCCACAGCGCCTGCCAAATTTTATTTATTTATTTATTTACTTTGAGAGGCAGGGAGAGCCCCCATCCATTGGTTCACTCCCCAAATGTCCACAACGGCTAGGGCCAAGCCATGCTGAAACCAGGAACTGGGAACCCAAGCTGAATCTTCCATGTGGATGACAGGGATCCAGCTGCTTGAGCCATCACCTGCTGCCTCCCAGGATGCTCATTAGCAAGAAGCTGGAGTCAGAAGCAGAGCTAAAACTTAACGTAGGCACTCCGAAGTGGGATGTGACCTTCCTGACTGGCAGTTTAACCCCTAGGCCAAGCACCTACTTTGTTAGTATTAATAGAAAAGTAATGCTCGTCTGTTCACTTGATTTTTTTTCTTCAAGTGTCTAGAAAATTCTAAAAATCTTAGTAAAGTGGTTATTATTAATTCAAGAATATAATGTTATTAGAATAAATTTCTGCTTAGGGAGTACTTTGTTTTGTTGGTAAGAGGTTAAGACTAGTATAGTAGTATGTATTATTTGTTTGTTGTGCCTATAAAGTGAACAGTGCTCAAGGAGTATACAGAATTGACTTTGCCCCAAAAGAGGTTTTGCCCTGCAACCAAATTAAATGAAAATTAATTGGAATATATTTGTTTTGCTATTTAAATAACTTCTTCAAGCATGTTTATATCTGTCTTTCATATAGTTCAGTAAATAAAGACCAAATATCCAGCTATTAAACAACATAATTTTGTGTGAGTATCACAGAAGTACATGTCTATTGCTTAAATGTATTGGATGAAACAAAGTTCAATATATACATACATATTTCAAGCTCTAACATTTTTATTTTTATTTTTTATTTATCATTCACATGATTTTTTATGATTTTGTGGTTAATACTTAAATATTTGCTTTTAGCTCCTGGTAAAATTCTACAGGGCAGAATATTCCTTTGCCATTTTGGCAGATATGAAGTTTTCCTATTTGATTATTTGGAGCTTTACTAGTTCCCTACATTCTTTCCACTCCCTAACCCTGCTCATTTAGCCATCTGGTACGACTTGCTTTAGGGAATGGCTACAGAAGAAAAACAGAAACTTAAAGAGTCCTTACCCTTTGAGGATCCTTTTAAAGTTTTAAAATCTAAGCCCTAAAAATAACTTTTATGCCAAAAGTAAAATATTTTGGAAGGATACATGATTTATCAAACTCTTTACTCTTAAAGTAAATATACCTCAGTTTGAAGCGAGAAGGAGAAAATCAGAGAGCAAACTCAGTAAAACTGAGAAAACCCTTAGTTGACTGAAATTTTACTTGGACTATCCAGAGAAATGGAGGCTTAAAATTATAACTAAGTTTAATTACAGGAAATCACCTAGCCTTTCCACCTGAGTGTGTAGACCAAGATTGGTACCTGTCAAAACCATGAAAGATGAATTATTGTTGCACATATTTATAAAATATTTATTTATTTGAAAGGCAGAGTTACAGAGAGGGAGAGACAGAGAGAGAGGGAAATTTTCCATCTGCTGGTTCACTTCCCAGATCTGTATGTATGTTTTCACAGATTGGACCAGCTGCACCAGTTTGAACAGTGTAGATTAACCCAAGTAGGTAAAACCTAGTTAGCTAGCAATATGTGGATTAGGCTGCTAATGAATTTAATGTTCAAAAGTATTGCTGTGACATTACCCTTGGTGCTACTTTTTTCAACATTATTTTGTGTTCTCTTTTTTTAGGTTGAACAATGCATTGAATATTGCCACAAAAATATGAATGCTATAGTAGCTACCCCATGCAACATGAACTGTATTAATGCAAATCTTCTTACACGTATAGCAGATCTGTTCACACACAATGAAGTTGATGATTTAAAGGACAAAAAAGATAAGTTTAGGAGGTAACTTTTAAAATTTAATTTTGAACCTACTGTTACTGTTTTAAGAAATTTATTCCTATTTTATTTTAGTGAAATTCTGTTTTTAGAATATATTTAGAAATGTATTTCTATTTTATTTTCAGTAAAGTGCAATTTACAGAGCCAACAGCTCAAGATAAAAATTATTTTGTATAGTGACTATATGAGCAGATGACAGTAATAAATTACATTAGAACTTACTTAGAAGGGCCAGTGCTGTGGTATAGCAGGTAAAGCAGCTGCCTGCAGTGCCAGCATCCCATATGGGTGCTGGTTCGAGTCCCAGCCACTCCACTTGCGATCCAACTCTCCACTATGGCCAGGGAAAATAGTGGAAGATGGCCCAAGTGCTTAGGCCCCTGTACCCACATGAAAGACCCAAAAGAAGCCCCTGGCTCCTGGCTTCGGATCAGATTGGCTTCAGCCATTGTGGCCATTTAGGGAGTGAGCCAGCAGTTAGAAGACCATGCTTTCTGTCTCTCCCTCTCTCTGTCTGTAACTCTACTTCTCAAATGAATAAATCCTTAAAAAATAAAAAGAAATAAATTTAAACATGGATGAGGTTTGAAACCATGGAACTGGATGGGATTTCCTAGGGGAGTCGATAGTTAGTGTTTGCCATGTCCTGTTCAAGAAATCTTTGTCTACCTTAAAATAGTGAAGATATTTTCCTGGCTTTTTAAAAAATTATTATTCATCTTTAGTGAATGTTTGTGTGGTATGAGGTAAGGGTCAACATTCATTTTTTTCCCCCAAATAGATATGTGCTTAGCACAGCACCATATGAGTATGGTCAGAAGACCATCCTTTCCCTAAAATCAGGTGACTACATGTGAGGTCCATTTCTACATTCCCCATTTTGTTGTTGATTTCTCTGTTCTATCAGTAATATAATAGTTTTATATAATCTAATTGTTGTAGCTTTGCCTTTCTTCAAGACTGCTGTCCTGGCCATTATATGTCTTTTGCATTTCGTATAAATTTAAAATTTTTTAAAAATTTCATTTCTTTGCAAGGCAGAAAATTTTATTTCTTTGCAAGAGCTCCCATTTGTTGATTCATTTCTAAAATGCCTACAGCAGCCAGGGCTGGTCCAGGGCCAAATTTGGGTACTAGGAACTCAGTCTATATCTCCCACCTAGGTGGCAGAAACCTAACTACTTGAACCATTGCTGCTTCCTCGCTGGGTCCATATTAGCAGGAAGCTGGAACTGAAGCCAGGCACTCTTGTGTGGGACATGGGATATCTTAATCACTAGGCTAAACACCTACCCCTCTATGTAAATTTTACAATCAACTTGCCCATTCTCTTTCCCAGACACAAACCTACTGGAATTTGAGTTAAACATTGAATGTGTAGATTAATATAGGAAGATTTAACTTGTTCCTAAAATGTATGTCCCTCTGCTTACTGCTTTCCTAGGCCATAGCAGAGAGCTGGATTGGAAGTGGAGCAGCCGGGTCTTGAACTGGCGTCCATATGGGATGCCCACAATGTAGGTGGTGGCTTTACCCACTATGCTGCAGCGCCGGCCCCTCTTTAATGTTTTCTAAAGATTTATGTATTTATATAAAAGGTAGAGTTACAGAGAGAGGGATGGAGAGAGATTGATTCCATACACTGGTTCACTCCTGAAATGGCTGCAACCATTAGGGCCTCAGTTGAAACCGCCTGGAACTCTATCCGGGTCACCCATATGGGAGGTGGGGACCCAGGCACTCAGCCTTCTGCTGCTGCTTGTCCAGGTGCATTAGCAGAGAGCTGGATTAGAAGTGGAACAGCTGGAGCTGGAACCAGCACTCTTCTGGGATGCTGACATCACAAGTGGCAGCTTAAACTGCTGCACCACAGCTGCCTGCTCCTAGTCTTTAAATTTTTAAAAAAGATTTATTTATTTATTTGAAAGAGTACAGAGAAAGAGAGAGATCCTCCATCCACTGGCTCATTCCCCCAAATGGCCACAATGACTTGCACTGGCCCAGGCTGAAGCCAGGAGCTTCCAGGTATCTGAAGTGGGTGAGGGGCCCAAGCACTTGGGCCATCTTCCACTGCTTCCCAGGTGTATTAGCAGGAAGCTGGATCAGAAGTGGAGCAGCCAGGACTTGAACTGGGATGCCATTTCACAGGTGGTGGCTTCACCTGCTCGCTATACACAATGCCAGTCCCAAATTTTTTTCAGCAATATTTTAGAGTTTTTGGTGCAAAAGCTTTTATCTTTTTTTAAAAAATAAAATTTATTCCTAGGCATTTAATTTTTAAGGTTCTAGTGCTAGTCTCACTTCATTTTCTAATTGTTAGCAAGAGAGTATTGATAAAGGTTACCCAATATTTAGAGGTTCAATAGAGAAACAGCTTTTGAGGGACCTGAAGAGGAAGAGGAGCTGAAAGTAGAAGGGACAGAAAAGGATGGAGTATTTCCAGGGAGGGAAAGCAATTAGGTGACCAAGTGTGTGGAACACTGGGGATGGAGATATAGCCAGTTGGCATTTAGTAAACATTTTTCCAGATATTTAGTCTGCTGAAAATTTTAGCAGTCACTACTGGGGATAGGTGGGGAGGGTTTTTTTTTTTTTTTTAAGGAGGTACTGTGAAACTAATGTAGTACAATAGGTTAAGCTGTTGCTTGTGAGGCTGGCATCCCATCTGAACACTGATTCGAGTCCTGGCTGCTCCACTTCCAATCCAGCTCCCTGCTGTTGTGCCTCGGAAAGCAGCAGAAGATGGCCCAAGTGCTTGGGCCCCAGTACCCCGTGGGAGACCCTGATGAAATTCCAGGCTCCCATATTTGGCCTGGCTCAGTCCTGACCATCAAGGTCATTTAGGGGATGAATCAACTGCTGGATGATCTTTCTCTGTCTCTCCCTCTCTCTCTCTCTGTAACTCTGCCTTTCAAATAAATAAATCTTTCCCAAAAAATGGGGAAGTACTAGATTATATTTATATGCTAATCAGGATGATCCATTAGAGAAAGACATTGGTAATGCAGGGGATTATCTAAGAATTTAGTCCTTAATGGGAATGAGATAGAAAGGAATTATTCAAGAGCTAACCACTTGAAAATGAGAATAGAACCATAAACCCAGACTTGGCCTTTAATAGCAGCAAACATCTAGGAAAAATGAAGGTAGTCAGGATGTACATTTGGAATTAATAATATATGTATAAGACTTCAAGTTCAGTTATATGAATAGTATACATAATAATATAGTTAATACTTTTTGACTGCTTAACCCTGTGCCCTATGCCTGGCACCCTGTAGAACCATATAATTTACCCCTCATAGACATTTAAGAGTTTGGAATCATTAGTCATATTTTGTAAAGGAGAAAACAGGTTCGGGGCTGACGCTGTGGCGCAGCAAGTTAACGCCCTGGCCTGAAGCGCCAGCATCCCATGTGGGCACCGGTTTGAGACCCAGCTGCTCCTCTTCTGATCCAGCTTTCTGCTGTGGCCTAAGATAGCAGTAGAAGATGGCCTAAGTCCTTGAGCCCCTGCACCCACGTGGGAGACCCAGAAGAAACTCCTGGCTCCTGGCTTCGGCTCGGCACAGCTCCAGGCGTTGCAGCCATCTAGGGAGTGAACCAGCGGATGGAAGACCTCTCCCTCTCTCCCTCTACCTCTCTCTGTAACTCTTTCAAATAAATAAAATAAATCTTTAAAAAAAGAAAGAAAACAGGTTCAGAGATGATAAAAAAGATGTTAAAGATCACATACCTAGTTATTGGTAGTCCCAGATTGTTAAATTCTCGAAATCTTTAATTTTGAATATTGTGGTTTAAGAACTGAGGGAAAGGTAGATATTTATCAATAATATTTCTGTTAGAAATAGATCAGGAAGCTCTCACTAGTAAGTTTGTTTTCTTAAAATATCAAAAATGTATTATAAGCCCCAAGAGTTCGTCTCTTTAAGGATTAGTTCATTTTACTGTATACAGGTACAAATAGGTCAGTGTTTATTTTCATCACTGTAAAGTAAGTTTAATAAAGTACATACAGAGGATTAATTTGTTTTTTATTTGTTGGTAATAGTAAACTTTTTTGTAAGAAGATTGAAAGATTATTTGACACTGAGTACTTGAATCCAGATTCGCGGAGTAATGCAGCAACTTTATATAGGTACAGTAATGTAATTTTCCTCCAGCATGTTCTATAAAATAGCTAGATTTTTAAATTCAATGCATTCAAAATTTTCTTCTTGGATTTTTGTATCTTCTTTGTGTTATAGATGCTGTTTGTGTAAGAAACTTTTAACAAAAGAAACAGAAAGAAGAATTCCTTGCATTCCTGGAAAAATCAATGTGGATCGACATGGAAATATCATCTATATTCACATAAGGTGTAGTAAAGATTAAAATATTGCTTTTTAATGTGAATTTCTAGTGTATTTATAAAAGTGTCATTACTCTTCTAAGGAATAAGATAAAATCTTTTAGTAAGGTGCTACTTTTTTTTTTTTTTTTTTTGATTTAACAGATAGAGTTAGACAGTGAGAGAGAGAGACAGAGAGAAAGGTCTTCCTTCCATTGGTTCACCCCCCAAAATGGTCGCTATGGCGGAGCTACGCCGATCCGAAGCCAGGAGCCAGGTGCTTCCTCCTGGTCTCCCATGCGGGTGCAGGGGCCCAAGCACTTGGGCCATCCTCCACTGCCAGCTGGACTGGAAGAGGAGCAACCAGGACTAGAACCCGAAACCTATATGGGATGCCGGCGCCGCAGGTGGAGAATTAACCAAGTGAGCCATGGCGCCGCCCTCGCAAAGTGCTACTTTTAAAACAAAGTGAGGGGTCGGCGCTGAGCCTTGGCTAATCCTCCGCCTGCGGCGCCGGTACCTTGGGTTCTAATCCCAGTCGGGGCACCAGATTCTGTCCCGGTGGCTCCTCTTCCAGTCCAGCTCTCTGCTGTGGCCCGGGAAGGCAGAGGAGGATGGCCCAATATTAGTCTTGAAAGATGTTGTGATCAGTACCATTAAAACTTTTTTTGTTCATTAACAGATTTTAGTTATCTACATAAATTTTTTAAAGGTTTATTTATTTGAAAGGCAGTTACATAGAGAGACAGAAACAGATCTGCCATCCATTGGTTCAGTTCACAAATGGTCTCAACAGCTAGAACTGGGCCAGGCTGAAACCAGGAGTCTGGAATTCCATCTAGATCTCCCACATGGCAGACAGAGGCCCAGGCAAGGAGGTGAACTAGAAGTGGAACAACTAGAACTTGAACTTGCACTCATGTGGGATGCTGGCGTTGCTGGCAACAATTTAACCTGCACAATACTAGCACCCCCTGCATAAATATATTGAATTCTACAAGAGAACCAAAATTACTTTCAGGAGAATTTTAGTGATTGAAGAAAATTGTTTTTGATACTAGATTTTTCCATTATGTAGTTTTTAAAAAGCTTTGTTTATTTGTTTGAAGGGCAGAGCATCTAAGAGAGGGAGAAGGAAATTTTTCTGTCTGCTGGTTCACACCCACATGGCTGCAACAGGCAGGCCTGGGCCAGGCTGAAGCTAGGAGCCAAGAACTGCCATGGGTAACAGGGGCCCAAGGACTTGGACCATCTTCTGCTACCTTCCTAGGCACCTTAGTAGGAAGCTAGATTAGAAGCTGAGTAGCTTGGACTCGACTGTCACTTTATGGGTAGCAAGCATCACAAGCAATGGCTTAACCCACTGTGCCTTGCCAGCCCCTCCATAATTTAATTTTTCCTTATACTTGGATACTATTAATATTCCATTCATATATAATATATATAATAATTCCCATATATGTTCAAAGCAAGTAAGTTGGCATAATGTCTCAGGAAAGCAGAAACCTGAATGATTAAGTGGACTAAAATATATCCAGTATATCTGTAGCAGTAGTATATTTCTATAAAACACCTGTAGTCAACTCTTAATATACAGCCTTTACGAATTATGTTGTAGGAGCAGGCATCTGACAAATAGTAAAGATGCTGTGTGGGATCCCCACATTCCATTGGGTTCAAGTACTGGCTCTACTTTGGATTCCCGCCTCCTGTAAATGCACACTCTGGGAGGCAGTAGGTGATGATTCAAGTGTTTGGATTCCTGCCGCCCACATAGGAGACCCAGATTGAGTTCCAGGCTCCTGGCTTCAGTCCAGCCCATTCCTGGCTGTTGCAAGCATTTGGGGAATGAACCAGCTGATAGGAAATCTCTATCTCCTTCTCTCTCTTCTCTGTGTCTCTCTGCCTTTCAAATAAAATGAAAAATAAATAAAAAGCATATGTATATATGTATATACTTACATAGAAAGTAGTAAAATAAGTGAAAAATATAGTATATAAATCAAAACTGGAAACAAGCTCCCTAAAATGTTAATTTTGGTGTTACCTTTGAATGATAGTATTGTGTGATAGTTTTAAGTTTTTTTGCTTGTTCTTTTTTCTGTATTAGAAATATATAGCATTTTTGGCTGGCGCCATGGCTCAATAGGCTAATCCTCTGCCTTGCGACGCCGGCACACCAGGTTCTAGTCCCGGTCGGGGCGCCGGATTCTGTCCCAGTTGCCCCTCTTCCAGGCCAGCTCTCTGCTGTGGCCAGGGAGTGCAGTGGAGGATGGCCCAAGTGCTTGGGCCCTGCACCCCATGGGAGACCAGGAGAAGCACCTGGCTCCTGCCATCGGATCAGCGCGGTGCGCCGGGGGCGGCGGCCGTTGGAGGGTGAACCAATGGCAAAGGAGGACCTTTCTCTCTGTGTCTCTCTCACTGTCCACTCTGCCTGTCAAAAATAAATAAATAAATAAATAAAATTTAAAAAAAAGAAATATATAACATTTTTATTACAATATATAAGTGATATTTCATAAGTGAAACATTAAAAACAAATACAAGGAAATATTTAATTGCCCTTAGTGTTAATAGTACAGTCAACCTTAATATGTTGTGTTTTTTCTATCAGTACAATAATTACACAATCTTCACTAGTTACTGTAAGCACCTGTAATTTCATACTTTTTTGTCATGATTTTTTTGAAAACTACTTTCATTCTGACAACAATAAGCATGAATATTAGTATGTGAAAAAAGTAATGGATATTAACGTGAACATCTATTTTTGTTGTTTTTTTTCAAAGTATTTTCCTATAAGTCAGCAGTTGATGCAAACAGACAAAAATTTGTCTTTAAATAACTTTAGTTAAATGCGCCTAATTTATAATAAACATGATGACATTTTGTTACATGTTGAGCTAAGCATGATAGTAAAACTTAGAAAAGATTAAAACAGGGGTTTGAATAGAAATTGGAATTATTTTGATCATAGCAAATGTAGTTTTAAACCTTTATTTTTTTAACTTTATATTGTTATTTAAAATCTGGATTATCAAAGCCTGATTGTATAATATTATATCACTCAATTACTAGAAAGCATGATTTTCAAATAATGCAAAGAAGTAATATACTAATTAAATGCTTAGAATCACCAATAATTAATAATGACCTGTCTTATATACAGTTAGAATAAAGTTTCCATTTAATGGCGTATGTGTAAGTCCCAACTGATGGTCCAATCAAGCTATGTTTAATTAATAATCCTTTTACTAGCTTAGCAAAATAGTTTGGCATTCAGCTTTTCATACCTTGTTCATTTGTCCACATAGTAAACAAACCCCCAAGTAAATTTGATTTACCTTTCTGTGTGGTCCACACCACACATGTATTTGGGGAATGTTCTTGAGAAAAAGTCACAAAGTTTAGAACATTTCTTCATATTGTTTGCTTGTAAAATAATGTAACATTGAGACTCTTTTTCCCAGAGATAAGAGTTGGGATGTTCACGAGTATTTGAATAGTCTTTTTGAAGAATTAAAATCTTGGAGAGATGTATATTGGCGCTTGTGGGGAACAGTCAACTGGCTGACTTGTTCACGATGTTGTCAGGTAAGTTTTTTTTAATTCAGTATCCTTCCCTGCAAACATTAAGAGCAAGTCTCTCAGTATCTTCTGTTTAATGAATATGTTTGGATAATATCCAGCGTCTTTTTGAGAAACTAGTAGCAAAAGCAAGTGTCCTGTAAAATTTGCTTGCCTCGAGCTCCATTTATCTTGCCATGTTTCTTTTTTATGTTTCATTGCAGAAGTAGTCAATGCTTTGTCAAATTTTTAGAAAAGCAACAAGTCTTGGGGCATGTGCTATTGCACAGCTGTTTAAACTGCTGCCTATAGTGCTGGCATCCCTTATAGGTGCCAGTTCAAGTCCCACCTGCTTCGCTTCTGATCCAGCTGCTTGCTAATGCACCTCCCTTCTTCTCTCTCTCTGTAGCTCTACATTTCAAATAAATAAATAACTCTTAAAAAAAAAAAAGAAAGAAAAGCAACAAGTCTTAAATGACCAGATCCATTTTTTCAAAGGTTAAAAAGTAAAGAATCATTATTGCCTTTAATTTTTTCTAGCCAGACCTTATCTCCATTGCTCATAAAATTCTGTGGTAATTCAGAAGCACCTTTGCAGATAGGATGCTGTTGACTTGCACGCTTTTTGTTGTAACAATTGTAATCCCAAAAATATTTGTTAATTTTCTAAATAGGAAGTTTATATTAAAAAGCACAAGAAAGCTGTCTTTTTAAAAGAATACAGAATAAATCCTTTTATAAGAATGGATGTCTATTATGTCAAAATCATTCCAATCAATCTTATGTATAAATCCAAAATTTTCTACATATGATTTTTTTTTTTATTTTGACAAGCAGAGTTAGTGAGAGAGAGAGACAGGTCTTCCTTTTCCATTGGTTCACCCCCAAAATGGCCGCTAAAGCCGGCGCGCTGCGCTGATCAGAAGCCAGGAGCCAGGTGCTTCCGCCTGGTCTCCCATGCGGGTGCAGGGCCCAAGTACTTGAGCCATCCTCCACTGCCTTCCCGGGCCACAGCAGAGAGCTGGACTGGAAGAGGAGCAATCGGGACTAGAACCCTGCGATCATATGGGATGCTGGCACCGCTGGTGGAGGATTAACCAAGTGAGCCACGGCGCCGGCCCTACATATGATTTCTTAAGTCTTCCTCCCCCTGTGTAATCTTTCCTCTTCTTTTCCTCTTCCTCCTCCTGCTCCCCCTCTTCATCAAGAAAGATTTATTTATTTGTTCGAAAAGTAGAGTTAACACAAAGGGAGAGATAGAGGGATGTCTTCTATCCACCGGTTCACTCTCCAAATGACCATAACAGCAGGGATGGACCAAGCTGAAGCCAAGAACCTGAAACACCATCTGGGTTTCCCACACTTGTTCAGGGTCCCAAGGTCTTAGACCATTTTCCACTGCTTTCCCAGATGTTAGCACAGAGCTGGATTGGAAGTGGAGCAGCCAGGACTTGGACTGGCACTAAATGGGATGCCAGTGTTCGCAGCTGGCAGCTTAACCATGCCAGCCCCAGTAATTGTCTTCTTTCACTTGGGTAATTACTTACAGTAGAAAGAAGAAAGAATAGTTTATCAGAACTATCAGACTGACATTTCAAGCTACAAAGTCCCACCATAGGCTGTCTGCACTCCCTCAGATTTAAAAAATCAGGTTTAGGGAGGCCAATATTGTGGAGTCACAGGTAAAGCCACTACCTGTGATGCTGGCATCCCATATGGGCACCAGTTTGAATCCTAGCTGCTCTACTTCCGATCCTGCTAGTGCACTTGGGAAAGCAGCAGGTACTGCCATCCATGTGGGAGACCTGGAGGAAGCTCCTAGTCTTTCAAACAAGTAAATAAATCTTTGAAAAGAAAAGGCATGCTTATTGAAATTTAATTATATTATATACATTAAAATTGATCTTTTTTATAAGATTTGCTAAATGCATACCCTGATGTAACTACTACCATCTTCAAAGCATATAGCATTTCCATCACCCTAAAACGTTTCCTTGTACTCCTTTAATCAATTCTTCCTGCCATGCCAGTCTGGCAACAACTGATCTTTTCCTGTCTCATAGTCTTGATTTTTCCAGAATGTCGCATAGATTCAGTCATGCCGCAGTTACCCTCTTGAGTGTAGCATCTTTCATTTAGCAAAATTGATCTGAATTGATCCATGTTGTTGCATGTCTCAGTTCTTTTTTATTGCTAAGTAGTAGACTATTATATATTCTTTTTTATTGCTAAGTAGTAGACTATATCACTGCTTATTCATTCACCGGTTGAAGGCCTTTGCAATGTTTATTTGGGGCCATTATGAAGAGAACTTCTGTAAACAACTCCAGACAAGTTTTCCAGTGAACAGAGATTTTTTGTTTCTCTTGGATAATTATTTAGGAATAGGATGGCTGGGTTATATGGCAGATGTAATGTAAGTTTGCCATTCATCATGCCTAACGGTTTTCTTAAGTCACTGAACCATGCTGTATTGCTGCCAACAGTCTCTAACAGTTCTGGTTGTCCCATATCTCACTAGCACTTGATGTGGTCGGGCTGGTTTTTTTGCTGTTGTTAATATAATCGTCAATTTTGTTTTTGTACTTGAATTTTTTACCAACTTACATACAGTTCTGAAACTGGACTATTTTATAATTATGCTTTGATAGGTGTTTTCACTCAAAATTCAAAAGTCATGCTGCAGCTGGTGCCGTGGCTCAATAGGCTAATCCTCCGCCTGCGGCAAAGGAAGACTTTTCTCTCTGTCTCTTTCTCCCACTGTCCACTCTGCCTGTCAAAAAAAAAAAAAAAAGTCATGCTGCAGTTTTCATTAATACTGATGATGAAGATTTACCTTACTGACTTTCTAAAATGTTTTTATTTTTCATTGACAAATAGTGATTGTATATATTTACAGAGTTATAATGTGGCATTTCAGCACACATACACAGTATGTAATGATCAGTCAGAATAATTGGTGTATTTGTTGCTTCAGGTATTTATTTCTTGTGTTGGGAATGTTCAAAATCCTCTGTACTTATTATTTTAAAATATTCAATTATTGTCAACATTAATATAATTAATATCATAATTATATTACTATGTAGCCTAATGTGATTAATATATATTTTTAAAAGATTTGTTTATTTCATTTGAAAGGCAGAGTTATAGAGAGAGGAGAGGGAGAGACAGAGAGAGATTTTCCATTTGCTGGTTCATTCCCCAAATGGCCACAACAGCTGGGCCAGACCAAAGCCAGGAGCCAGGAGCTTCATCCGGGTCTCCCACGTGGGTGCAGGGGCCCAAGCACTTGGACCATCATCTGCTGCCTTTCCAGGTTAATTAGCAGGGAGCTGGATTGGAAGTGGAACAACCGGGACTCAAACCAGCGCCCATAGGGGATGCTGGTGCTCCATGTGGAGGCTTTACCTGCTACACCACAGTACCAACCCAAATATAATTAATATTAATATTGTTGTCAACCATAGTTATCCTGTGCTATAGAACATTAGTTGTTACTCCTCCCTATCTAGCTTCTGCCCTGCACCCATTAACTGTCCTGTCTGTAATCAGTCCCCCATACCCTTACTAGACTCTGATAAATAACCACTATTCTATATCCTCTACTTCTGTGAGATCAGTTTTTTGCTCCCATATGTAAGTGAGAACATGCACTGTTTGTCTTTCTGTGCCTGACTTATTTCACTTAACATAATGTTGTCTGGCTTCATCTACATTATTGCAAATGACAGGATTTCCTACTCTTTTTAAGTTTGAATAATATTCTGATTGTGTGTGTATCATATATTCTTTATCCATTCACTCATTGATTGACACTTAGGTTGATTCCATATTCTGGCTAGTGTGAATAATACTGCAGTGAAATGTCAGGGAATAATCAACCTAAGCAAATTTTATTTCATTTTTATTGGAAAAATTTTTAAGTGATTAGCTAATTATAAAAGTGAATATATATCAAGATCAGCTTAATTCATCTGAATTTTTCTAAAAGTAGTTTTTGTTTCACTTTAAATATCTTTATTGAAGTATAATTACATGCCATAAATTCATATATTAAAGGTACACTGATTTTTTAATAAGTTTACAGAGGTGTGCAACAGTCATCACCATTCAATTTTAGTACATTTCCATCACTCCAAAAAGATTCTTGGTCATTCTTACTTCCACTTCATTCTCACCCCTAATCCATGGCAACCACTAATTTACTTTGAGTCTTAATGATTGCACATTTTCTGTACATTTCATCTAAATGAGACACACAGTACATGGTCTTCAGTAAAATAGTTGTTTTTTGTTTTTTTTTTTTTAAGATTTTGTTTATTTATTTGAGAGGGAGAGACAGAAAGGTCTTCCCTCTGTTGGTTCACCCCCAACTGCAACGCGGCTGCAACGGCCATAGCTGTGCCGATCCAAAGCTAGGAGCCAGGTGCCTCCTACTAGTCTTCCATGTGGGTGCAGGGGCCCAAGCACCTGGGGCACAGCAGAGAGCTGGATTGGAAGAGGGGCAGCCAGGACTAGAACTGCTGCCCATATGGGATGCCAGAGCCTCAGGCGGAGGATTGATCTACCGCGCCACAGCATCGGCCCCTGGTAAAATAGTTTTGAGATGTAATGATTTTGTTCTATGAATAAAAATTGATTTTGTATGTTTGCTTTCTTCAGGATTTCCTCTGTATTGAGTTCTCACACTGTCAGTACCATTCAGAAACAGTGGTTTACCCTACGGCTGCAAGTTCGCTGAGCACAGTGGGCACCGGAATTTATCCCTGCTGTAACCAAAAGGTTCTTCGGTTTGACCCTACTCAGCTTACAAAGGTGAAGTTTACAGGTTGCCTTTTTGTAACTATATCTTCACTAACGTTTTATTAAATCCTTTTCCCATTTTATTGTTTTTAAAGTATACATTTTATGTATCCACATAGAAAAGACTTCTAATAGTACATAAATAAGTATAGGGAAAAGTGGAAGTCCCTTGTTATACCTCTTCTCCATTCTCCATCTTGTCTTCAAAGTAAGCATGGTTAAATTCCTTCAGACCTTATTTTATACATTTTAGGAAAAAATTATTTCTAGGCTTTCGTGTTGGATAAGGGATCATATGACTCATATTATTCTGTAACTTTTCTTTCTTACACAACATCCTTAGGTTATCCTTCTGTGTCATTCTTTTTAACTAATGTGAACTATTCCAGCTGTGCATATATCATAAATGTAGTCATTCTGTTGATGAAAATTTAGGTTGTTTCCAGATTGATGAAATTATAGTGTTGCAGTAGTCATTATGGCACATATATCTTTTTTGAATTATTTTATTTGAAGGGCAGACAGAGACAGATATATAGAGATCTCCCATCTGCCGGTTAATTCCCTAAATGCGCACAACAGCTGAAGATGGGCCAGGCTAAAGCCAGGAGCTGGAAACTCAATCCAGATCTCCCAGGTGGGTGGCAGGGACTCCAATTCTTGAGCCATCACTTGGCTGCCTCATAGGATGTACATTAGCTGGAAGCTGGAATTGGGCACAGAAGAGCCAGGACTCCTAAATGGGAAGTGGCATCCCAAGCAGCTATTAAGTACTACACCAATTGCCCACCCTTTAAAATTTTTTCTTTTTTTTCTTTTTTTTTTTTTTTAGATTTTATTAATTTATTTGACAGGTAGAGTTATAGACAGTGAGAGAGAGAAAGAGACAGAGAAAAAGGTCTTCTTTCCGTTGGTTCACTCCCCACATGGCTGCAACGGCCGGAGCTACAGCAATCCGAAGCCAGGAGCCAGGTCTCCCATGTGGGTGCAGGGGTCCAAGCATTTGGGCCATCCTCCACTGCTTTCTCAGGCCACAGCAGAGAGCTGGACTGGAAGAGGAGCAACCGGGACTAGAACTGGCACCCATATGGGATGCCGGCGCCAAAGGCGAGGATTAACCTAGTGCACCACTGCGCTGGCCCCCACCCTTTAAAATTTTAAGCACAAAAGATGAGCCACACACTACAAGGAGGAGGATGGCATGTAACATTAGATAGTTTCTGCCTTCATGTAGATGACAGTTCAAGAAATAATCCAAATACCACAAAGGGGAAAAAAATGCACACGAAGAAATATTTGAAGACATATACAAGGCCATAAATGTCAATTTTAGGCTGGTATGACCTGACTTGTAAAGTCAGAGAAAGCCTCAAGGGGCATTATAGAAAATCTGCATAGTTCAAGAAAAGGCTGGAGAGATAAGCAGATGTCAGGCTATGCAGGGACAGCACCTTGTAGCCCATGTTAAAATTTTTATCTCAGGCTCAAAATATTAGTTGCAGTGAAGAGAATGGCTTGTTGATGGGAGCCAGATATAAGAAGTTATCACAGTAGTCATAGATGATGGGAGCTTCGAGTAAAGTAGTAGAGGTGAAGAAAAGTAGATGAATTCAGTACTTAAAGGTCAAATGGAAATGACTTGAATGGAGGGAGCAATCAAGCTTGACTCACTTTCTTGCTGGTGCTGCTGGAGAGATGGACAAACTACAGGTGAGAATTGGGTTTGGAGAGAAGCTTGTGAGTTCTGTTTTGGTGACTGAGTTAAGGTGCTTTCTGAAATAACGAGGCAGAGACTGTAAAAAGTGCCTTGGCCAGAGATTTATAAGTCTTGCAAACAAGTGATAATTAAAGGTAGCAGGTACAGTTGAGCATACACACATACACAGACACACACAAATATAAATATGCAGGGCCTAAGTATGCAGCCTAGCAAAACTACATCTGGTGCCTGGATAAAGGTGCATGAACCTGTAAAGGAGAGTGAATGGTTGGAATCAACCAGAATAATGAGAGGAGAGCCATGGGTGTTGTCATGCAAGTAAAGAGAAAAATACTTAAAGAGGAAGTGTACCTGGTCTACAGTGCCGAATAGTGCTGAGAGATCAAACAGAATAGTGGGGAGGGCTGGCACTGTGGTATAGAAGGTTAAGTTCAGTGCCAGCATCCCATATAGGCACTGGTTCAAGTCTCAGCTGCTCCACTTTTTTTTTTTAAAGCAACATAGTTTTTCTTTCTTTTTCTTTTCTTTTTTTTTTTTTTTTAAGATGTATTATTTTATTTGAAAGTCAGAGTTACGCAGAGAAGGAGAGACAGAAAGAGAGAGGTCTTCCATCCGCTGGTTCACTTCCCAACTGGCTGCAATGGCCAGAGCTGTGCCGATCTGAACCCAGGAGCCAGAAGCTTCCTCTGGGTCTCCCACGTGGGTACAGGGGCCCAAGGACCTGGGCCATCTTCCACCGCCTTCCCAGGGCACACCAGAGAGTCGGATTGGAAGTGGAGCAGCATCCATATGGGATGCCTGCTATGCCACAGCACTGGCCCCAGCTACTCCACTTCTAATCCACCTCCCTGCTGATGCATGTGGGACAGCAGATGACCCAAATCCTTGGGCTCTTGCCACCCATGTGGGAGACCCAGGTGAAGCTCCAGGCTTCTGGTGTCAGCTTGGCCCAGCCCCAGCCATTGTAGCCACTTGGGGAGTGAACCAGCAGATGGAAAATCTCTTTTTTTCTCTCCCTCCTTTTCTCTCTTTGTGTCTCTGCTTTTCAAATAAATACATCTTCAAAAAAATAATGGGGAAAATTTTGTTCTTTGGCTTTAGTAACCTGGAATACACAAACACGAAGAGCTGTTTAAGTGGAGTGCTAGACCCAAAAGTCAGGTTAATTTGGGTTGAAAAGTGAGTGGGAAGTGAGCAAATGGACACAGGGCAAACGAAAACTCTGAGAAAATTTGAGAAAGGAAGATGATAGATAGTAATGAGATTATGGGTATCTGTTTATAATTATGTTTCTGCTTTGTTCTGATGGGGAGACCTTCATGTTAGTGGGAAGGAGCCAGTTGAAAGGCAAGGTTGATAGTATAAGTTTATGAGAAGCCAGGGTAGAGTGGGATCCTTAGTGTGTGTTGCAGCATGAGTTTAGATAAGAGGAAGAAAAACTCCTTCCTTAGAACAGGAGAGGAGAGGAGAATGGTTGCAGATCTTAGTAAAAACTGTTTTTGTTGTTTGAATGATAACAGTCCTCTGTAATGCCTTTTCTGTTCTCTGTGAAGTAGAAAGTAAAGCCATCTGCTAAGAATGAGGGGGAAAGGAGAGTTTCAAGATTGGGGAAAGTATCAAAGGCCTAAAATAGGCTTTTGGTAAATAGGAGAGTAAATTTCCCAGAGAAGGGTTATGAATTACCAGGCAGTTTGAGAGAACCCATCAGAGGTTGGTAATCATAAATTTATAGTGGAGTCCAATATGCATTTTTATGTCACTCTGTCCAGCAGCCTTTGGGGGTGTCTTTGAATGCAGACAAAGAAAATGGATAGTTGAGTTCATTCAGAGTTGAGGGTTAGCCACATGGAAATGATGAAAGATGGGGGCAAAGAATTTGGGATGTTGGCAAAAATGTTACTGAATGATGGATCATGGAAATTTCTTTAAAATATTTATTTGGAAGGCAGAGTTACAGATAGAGAGGAAGAGAGAGAGAGAGAGAGAGAGATCGATCCTCTCTCTGTTAGTTCACTCCTCAAATGCTGCAGTAACCAGGACTGAGCCAGGCTGAAGCCAGGAGCCAAGAACTATCTGGGTCTCCCACTTGGGTGGCAGGGATCCAAGTATTTGGACCATCTGCTGCTGCTTTTCCAGGTGCATTAGCAGGGATCTGAATTGGAAACAGAGCAGCCAAGTCTCAACTGGCACTCCTGTAGGTTTCCAGCATTGCAGCTGACCTAACCCACTGTACCACAACACTGACCCCTTGATCATGGAATTTAGGTGGACTAGGCTTTTTCATATCAATTAGCAATTGATATGTAATCAACAACTTTGATTAGTCAGGAATTTTATTGGTGAGGTAGTAGGTTATTCATGTAATGTTCATATTTAAAGTTTTGGTTACATGTTTTGCATATAAAGGTATTTAAGCTGAGCATGAGAATTTAAGCAAAATGAGATTCATTTTAATAAGCCTGATGTTAATTCATCTTTATTACTAATTTATCATTGCTGTATTTTTTCATAACATGATTTTTAGTTGTTGCATTTCTTTCAATCAAGTTGTTTCCATTTTGATTATCACATTTCCACATTGTTTTGAGCAAAATATAATCTTAAGTGTTGTAACATTTGGCTTGTTATTATCTCTTTATTACTTGTGTTAATTACATATACTCCATTTGTTGTGAAGCAATTCAGGAATAAATAGTAAACTGATAAGTCGTATATGACTTCATGGGTATAGACTGAGATGTTGTCTTGGGCTACCTGAAAATCTACATAGCTCATATGGTGATTTATATTTCCAGCAAAGGCAGGCTAAGTAATTCAGACTGATCCTCCCATCAGGTGCAACTTAGAAAAAAGACTGAAATATAAAGACCATGTTAAAAGCATAAAACAAATAAGATAATGAAATAGTGTTAAGATACAGTAGGATACAGGAAGAGTAGGTATTTAGCATTTCAGTTAACCTATGAGTTGGGACACCCACATCCCATGTTGGAATACCTAGATTTTAGCCCCAACTGCAATCCCCATTTTAGCTTCTAACTAATGCACACTGTGGGAGGTAGCAGGTAATGGCCCAAGTATCTAGACCCCCTGCTACCTACATAGGAGACTTGGATTGATTGTGTTCCTGGCTCTTAGGTTCTTGGCAGTTGAGGGTATTTGGAGAATGAGCCGATAAATGGGAGCTCTCGCCCTCTCTCCATGCCGCTGTCTTTGTTTCTTTTTCTTCCTTTCCCTTCCTCTCTTTCTCTCCTTTTCTTTTCTCTCCCTTTCTTTTCTTTTCTCTCCCTTT